TACAGATGGTTGTGAGCCACCATGTGGTTGCTGGGAATTGAACTCAGAACCTTTGGAAGAGCAGGCAATGCTCTTAACCACTGAGCTATCTCTCCAGCCCCTAAAAGATTTATTTATTTATTATGTATACAGTATTCTCAGTACTCTGCCTGCAGGCCAGAAGAGGGCACCAGATCTCATTACAGATGGTTGTGAGCCACCATGTGGTTGCTGGGAATTGAACTCAGGACCTTTGGAAGAGCAGCCAATGCTCTTAACCAGTGAGTCATCTCTCCAGCACCCCCCCCCCAATACCTCTCTTGACCTGGGTGTGGTGGTGCAGTTCTAGAGTTGGGAGGCAGAAGCTCTAGAGTTCTAAGTAGCCCTTGACTAGAGACTCCATATAAAAAAACCAAGAACAATAAAACAAGCGCCCCACCTAGGGCTGGAGAGACGGCTCAGCACTTAAGGGTTCTTACTTCACACTCATAAGGACTTGATCTGGACCCCAGCACTCATGCAATAAAGCCAGTGTCCAGGTACATGCTGTAATCCAGCTCAAGTCCCAGGTTCAGGGAGAGACTCTGCCTTAAAGAAACAGACAGAAGGACAGAGAAGGCAACCAGTTCCATGTTCTGGCCTTCATTTGTAGAGGTACATGAACCCGCACACACACACCTGCATATACTCACAGACATGGGTATGCATACTCAGAAACACTTAACTTTTTTCCTTTGCTTTTGTTTTTCAAGACAGTGCTTGTGTAGCCTTGGCTGTTCTGGAACTAGCTGTATATACCACAGTGGCCTCAAACTCACAAAGATCCACCTATCTCTGCTTTCTGAGTGCAGGGATTAAAAGGCACGGAACGCCATTGCCTGGCCCTTCTTTTTGCTTTCTGAGACAGAGTCTTACCATGTAGCTCTGGCTGTTCTGGAACTCACTATGTAGACCAGGCTATCCTTAAACTCAGAGATCCACCTGTCTCTGCCTCCTGAGTGCTAGGATTAAAGATGTGCCCAACCATGCCAAGCTAGACACACAGTCTTAAAATAACACATCTCCAACAACCAACACTCCATCCCCCAATTTCCCCCAAAAGGTTAAGGAGATGACAGACCATTGGACTGGAGATCCTGACGCCTCTTGTTGCAGTGGAGAGGAAGGGTGACATTCTTTGGCAGGAGTAACTCCATGAGGGAAACAACAAAGGAGGAAACTCACCTGGGGAGACACTTGGCTGGCTCAGAGCATGCAGAGTTTGACAGAGTGTAACACAGGGAAGGTGAAGCAACAGCCAGCTGAGAGAGTCAAGAGCAATGGTGACAGGGCCGGGACCTGTCCTGCACAAGGCTCTTAAGGTTCCTAGGGGTCCTTCGGGGATAGCTTCGCCAGTTTTTGACCAGTTAAGAGGGTCTTTAAAGAGGTCATGGTAAACCAGCCTATAAAGGGAAAATGGAAGACATGTTACAACCTTGAATTTCTTCCCGATCTTTTCAAATTTATTCATTCTTCAAGTTCTTCAAGACAGGGTTTCTCTGCATAACCATTCTGGCTGTCCAGCAACTCACTCTGTAGACCAGGCTGGCCTCGAACTCACAGAGATCCACCTGCCTCTGCCTCCCAAGCACTGGGATTAAAAGTGTGTGCCACCCACCACTGAGCCCTTAATTCTCATCAATACCTTATATACTAATGAAAGCTAACTACTGAAAGAATTTAGTGATTGACAGCAGACTTTGGTGTCTCATAACCTAAGTTCTAAGGTTGACTTTGAACCTTGTCCAGGGTCACCTAACTGGCAATTCTATCCTTCAAAGTTCATTTGACAATTGTTCTAAGCTCCCCTTCTGGGGTTAGAGTTGGAGGACTGGAGTTCAGTTCCTACTAGGCGCACAACTACTTACTCGTCTTTCAGGGGAATCTGATCCCCTTTTCTTATTTCCATGGGCACTTATACTCATGTGCACATACCCATACACATGCACAATATTAGAAAATAAATCTTGGCCGGGTGGTGGTGCACGCCTTTAACCCCAGCACTCCAGAGGCAGAGGTAGGCGGATCTCTGTGAGTTTGAGGTCAGCCTGGTCTACAGAGTGAGTTCCAGGACAGCCAGGGATACACACAGAAACCCTATCTTGAAAAACAAAAACAAACAAAAATCATACCAAAGTAGGCATGGGGCAAGTCTATAATCCTAGCACTCAGATGGTCAAGAGGGGCAAATCTCTGTGAGCTCAAGGTCTGCCTGGTATATATAGCAAGCTTCAGACCAGCCAGGGATATGTAGTGGGACCCGGTCTCAAAAAAACCAAAACAAAATACAAACAACAAAACCCCCCTCTCCTCTAGAGATTCTGCCACACACAAGTGTTCTGTCATTTCTTCCCATTGTTTTCTAAGATTTACTGGAGCAGGAACCAGTCTGTCTCATCCGCTGCTGTCACCAGTGTCTTAGCAGAGCTCCTGGTCTGGTATTCAGTATACACGGACCTAGTGAGTGACCCTGGATCTGCACTAACTTCCTGCCTAGTCTCCACTTCCAAGCTGCCTTTTTTTTTTTTTTTAATACATTCTCTACATGGTAATCAATGGACTAGTGTTTCTAAGAGGTATGGTGTGACTAACTCTCCTCCCAACTGTCCTTGGCATAACATCTAAACCTCTATTGTGCTCGTAAGACCTTTTTATCTACCTGACCTCTCATGCCTTCTCATACGTTATTCTGTTGCTCCCTTTGTTTTTAGGACAAGCCCATCAATCCGCTGCAGCTAGTGCTGATGCAAGCCTGGCCTCTATGACTGAATTAAGCACCATTAGAGAACTCAGTACCTACACCTCCTGCTTAGGGATCTGACACTCTCACACATACATACAAGCAAAATACCAATATACACAAAATATAATAAATTATAAAAAATGATGCTGCCCTACCACAGAGCTTCATTCACCATCAGTGATTTATCAGTAACTATTTAATTTGTACATTAATACTGCATATTAAATAAAAACTTCTCAGGTGATAAGGGACCACAGTTGAAAAAAGTTTGAGAAGCCCTATCTAGAAATGTTTTACAGAAATCTAAAAATTAATTTTTTAATTAAAATTTTATTTATTTATTTATTAATTATGTATACAATATTCTGTCTGTGTATATGCCTGAAGGCCAGAAGAGGGCACCAGACCTCATCACAGATGGTTGTGAGCCACCATGTGGTTGCTGGGAATTGAACTTAGGACCTTTGGAAGAACAGGAAATGCTTTTAACCACTGAGCCATCTCTCCAGCCCCTTAATTAAAAAATTTTGTCAAGTGTTGTTGGTGCATGCCTTTAATCTCAATGCTCAGGAGGTAGAGCCAGGTGGATCTTTGTGAGTCCGAGGCCAGCCTGATCCACAGAGCAAGTTGTAGGACAGCCAGGGCTTCAAGGAGAAACCCTGTCTGGAAAAACCAAAAAGAAGCCACCATAATCAGAAATTTCCCATCATTTTTGCTAAAAACACTACCTCTTCTCCTGAACCTCTGCACATCATGAAAACGGGATGGAAGGCTTGGTGCGCCCGTCTTCATACTGTATCATTCTCCGCTACTTCAGTTTCAGAATTAGATTCCACTCACTTCAGTACTGTAGACACGCTAGTCATTTGAAAGTCATCTTGTCCTGAGAGGCTGGAGAGCAGGCTCAGCAGGTTAAAAGCAGTTGTTGCTTTTGTGGAGGGTCTGATTTGGTGGTAGTTCAAACCATGTACAATTCCAGCTCCAGAGGATCCAACACTCTCTTCTGATTTCTGCAGGCACTAAGGCATGCTCATGGTACCCATATATACATGGAGGCAAAACACTCGCACACATAACATTAAAAAAAAAATCCAAAAAAATGTAAAGTCATGGGGCTGGAGAAATAGCTCAGCTGTTAAGAGCACTGATTGTTCTCCCAGAGGTCCTGAGTTCAATTCCCAGCAACCACATGGTGGCTCACAACCATCTCTAATAAGATCTGGTGCCAGCTTCTGGCCTGCAGGGACACATGCAGGCAGAACATTGTATACATAATGAATAAAAATAAATCTTTAAAAAAAGAAAAGAAATGTAAATTCATTTTTTCTTTTTAGCATATAATCATGGAAGGGGCCTGAGGACAAAATCATTTAAATAACTCTGCAACTATTTGAGCCTATTACAATGATGCTTATTTTGTTTTATATTTATGATATTATATAAATTATTTTATATATATATTATATATATATATATAAAATTATTTAGGAACACAGTCTCACTATGTAAACCTGACTGGCCTGGAACACACTATACAGACCAGGCTGGCTTCAACCACACAGAGATCTGCCCGCATCTGCCTTCCGAGGGCAGGGCTTTATAAATTGAATGTGGCTTGCAACATAATCATAACACACATGAGGAAGGATGAGCTAGGACCGATGAGAGCTGGAGGCTGTTGTGGGACAGGGTGAGTTGTAGGGCAGCCTAGGCCACGTGAGATCACTGCCTAGGCCACGTGAGATCACTGCCTAGGCCACGTGAGATCACTGCTTAAAAAGGCATAACAGAGTCCTTTTCCGAGGGAGAAAGAAATAAAAAGAAAAAAAAGTTTTGTTTAAAGGTTACTTTAGTCTATTATACTTTGGAGTTAGCATGCTCTTTTGTCTTGTCTTTTTTTTTTTTTTCCCGAGACAGGGTTTCTCTGTAGCTTTGGTGCCTCTCTCCTGGAACTAGCTCTTGTAGACCAGGCTGGCCTGGAACTCACAGAGATCCGCCTGCCTCTGCCTCCCGAGTGCTGGGATTAAAGGTGTGAGCCACCACTGCCCGGCTTTGTTTTGTGTTCTTAATCCAATTCTTGCATCTGTGGTCCTGAGGCCTATAATAAGGCTCAGAGCAAAGCGACTGCAAGGACACTAATGACAGATGGCATCACTACAGGAGAAACGGCAGCTTCTGGGTTGACTAACCTGCAGGCATTAAAGCCAGAACGCTCTTACAGGAAAAAATCTTCATAGGTCACCCCAGAAAATATCTGAATTTACTGCTCTCTTTTGTTTATGAGCAATAGCCTCAGGATGTCCATTTCCATCGGTGTTGTATCCCTTTGTCAAGCTGGCCAGCAGGGCCTAACGTCCCTAGACCCTTGATAGTCATGTTTATAACTTCTACTGTTCCAAGTCATACGACCCCATTTCCACACAATCCAAGAATCCATTCTTCTGTGGAAAAGTCGGCCCTTTCCAACTGCGGTCCGAATGAAACCCATTCTAATTACACTTACCGGCTGTTGACGTCAGAGCCAAAACCTTCGCGAAACTCTTCCTCACTCACTTCACAGCCCAGAACGTGGATCTGCTCCCCACTAAAGCAGAGACGAGGGAAATATATCGTAGACTGAAGGCACCAGGTCCCTTCCCGGGAAGGGCCAGGAGCAGCCCCGGGATAACTCACCGAAGTGCCGATTTCTTGAGAAGCGCCTTTAGGAGACTACGCCCCTCCCACTCCACGGAATCTGTAGAGAGCCAAGCAGGTGTAAATGATCTCATAATCCACCGCGACTTCCACCCCGAGCCAGGGATCCCCGGAGGGTCCTCAAGACTTCCGCCCCTTCAGCCAGGCCCGAGGCTCCCCGCGCGTCTCCAAGCCTCACCTCGCAGGAGCACCAAGCCACCGCAGGCCAACAGCGAGTCCAGCATCTCTGACGTCTTCGGACGCTTTCTGATGTCGTCACGACCAAGGAGGCGGGGCGATTACGATTGCTTCCGCCATTCAAGGTCCCCAAAGTCTGGAGCCAAGGGTCTATTTTTTTTTTTTTTTTTTAAATGTTCCGCGTTCTCGGGGCGGGGGCGCCCTCGGAGGGGCCGCTCCAGAGCCTCTGCGCACAGCCGTGCAGATGGCATCCTCAGTCTTCTTGCGCTACGACAAGGGCGAGAGGGGCCGTTGGAACAGTTGTCAGTGGGATGGGGACTGGGGTCGCACGAGCCCCACTCCCCAAGACGTCCGAACCTGGGGACAAATGACGTCACTCGGCCCCGCCCACACCCTCAGAGGCTCCGCTCCAGGGCCCGCCCAGCATTCACCCCGCGCGCGTGCGCAACGCTGCAGCCCTCCTTAGGGCTCTGCTTTCCTTAACTCTACCCTCCCTCGTCAGGAGTTGAAGGAACATCAATCCCGGGGAAGTGAAAACACGTCATTACCGGAAGTACAGTCAGCGGGGAAGAGGAGGAGGGAAGAGAGGAGGAGGGAGCCCTTTGGGCGGTAAAATGGCGCCTGTCAGAGTGGGAAGCCCAGCTGCAGAGGCTGCAGCCCCGCTCCTTAGCGGCTAAGAGACCCCGACCTCGGGGAGGGGGAGGCCACTCCGGCCCAGCGCTCCGCGCCCTTCGGCTCCCCCTCCCCCTCCTTCCCAGTTCCAGCGCTCAGAGGCCCCAAGAGTCGTCGTGGCCCGTCGCGCGCCGCTGCCCCCGCCCGCCCCCTTCCCGGGGCAGACCCCTAGCGCGCCTGCGCAGAGGGCCACCCTTCGCTTCCCCCTTCCCCTCCCATTTCCCTCCCTCCCTTCTCCCTAGCCCCCTCCCCCCCATTGCCCCCTCCCCCAATTCTCCATCCCCCTTCCCTCCTGGTCTCGGAGGACCCCGTCCTAGCCGGACCTGTTTCGGCCTGCAGCCCACGCGAAGCCTTCGGTGCCACTTCCCGCTCATGTGGGCCCCTGCGGGCTGCCCACGCCAGTCCCCCAGCTCCCGGTTCCGCTGGGCTTTCCCTTTTCTGGGGGTGGCTTTCTGAGCCACCCACTCCGTGCCCATCTCTGCAGCCTCTCCTGCCGCTCGGGGCCCCGTTCCCCCTCCCGGCGGCGGGGGGCTGCCCCCGGGGGGCTGGCGGAGCTGGGCCGCGGGGGCCCCGGGGCCGGCGGTGCCGGGGTCATCGGGATGATGCGGACTCAGTGTCTGCTGGGGCTGCGCACGTTCGTGGCCTTCGCCGCCAAGCTCTGGAGCTTCTTTATTTACCTTTTGCGGAGGCAGATCCGCACGGTGAGTTAGTGTGGCTGCTGGCAGTGGTGGGGACCTCTGTCCTCGGTGCTCACGGAATTTTGGATAGTGTTGGGCCCCTGTTTTGGGCCTAGGAAGGGAGCTTTGGCCAGAGCTTTACCCACTGGAGAAGTAGAGCACCTTTAAGGAGGATTTGGACCCTTAGAAAAGAACCAAGATCTATGGTGGTTTTGGTTTCTTTTTTCATCTGCCCAGATGGGATAGCACTTGGCAGCTCTTGGGGGCTAGAACGGTGCTCTCCTTAAGAAAGGTGGAGTTGTTGCTAAAGAAAGCAAGAGGCAGGGAACACCTGTTTGCTGGTAGCCAGAACTGTTGCTGAGGGCTCTGGAAAGACCCTGCTGTGAAAGGGCCGGGCTCCTTTGTCAGTGGTGAGTGTGTGTAGGGGGCATTTGTAGCAGGGGATGGGAACTTGGGGCAAAGCCTTGGTTGTGAAGGAACTCCTCCAAAGAGTCTTTGACCACCTATAGCGTGTTTGTTGAGACCCTGGGCCTTGGAAAAGAGGTTTTTATAATGAGCATCTTTCGTTGTAAGAGGCAGCACTTTCAAGTTGAGTGTCTCGTTAGAAGACCTGGCTGTTAGCTGTAGAGCTTGTGTCTGAAGGTGGGCATGTTTCTCCGGGAGACTCTTAGCAGTTAGGAAGAGAAACCTGGAGTGTAGAGGCTGTTGGGATGAACCCAAGCGTCTCTGGGTTCTCACCCTCAAACTTTTCTCCAAGGAAAATTTATTTCAGATAACATCACTTGATGAATGTGCCCCTAGGTTTTCGTCACCCCTGGGGCACATCTCCTAAGGTCAGGTTCGGGGAGAATGAGTGGACTGTGTGTGACCTTTGACAGCTGAGGTCAAGAGAACCCCCAGACAGACTTTGATACTGGCAGTAGACCTGACTGCTTTGGGAGCGTGCCTTGCACTTGCATTCATTCCCTAGCAGTCTGTTCTAGTTCTTCTGCGTTCCAGTTTAGGGTGAAGATTATTATTCTGGGTGGTGGTCGTGGTTGTAAGCACACCTAGTCTCCTAAGAGTGGTAGGATCCATGAAAGATTGGGGGTGTGCAAGGCTGACTCCTATGATTGTGTGTGCCTACTTCTGCTCATCCTTTCTTTCTGACCTTGTCCTGAGGATCCTCCCTCTTCTACCAGCTCATTTTATTCTTCTGAGTGTTGGGAATAGTGCTCTAGTCCATGTATTGGAAGACCAGTTACTTCCTAAATTGCTCTCCTCTGGACATCACTGACCCAACAGCCCTTTGTCCTCCCTTCTAGTCTGGTTTCTTCCCCACACCCTTTCTGGCAGCTACTTGGAGCATTCCCTACATGCCCAGCATGTGCAACCCGAGATAGCAGGGCAGGACACCCGAGCTGTTTCAGCCCTCATCACAGACTCAGGGAGAAAAGAAGGGCAGATGCCTTGGGACTAAAGAAGAGAAGGCCTTTTGGTTTTCAAGTAGGGAATGTGTGGCTTAGGGCCTAGGAACGAACTGGAGAACATTTGTATGTTAGGAAAGAGCAGAGGAGGGAATTGCCGGGCTTGCGCAGAAGCTCTGGGGATTAGGAAATAGTTTCTAGAGAAGCCTTGGATAGCAGAGTTGGAAGGCACAAGGGATGATGTCCTTGTCCCTGTTCACCTTTCTCTCACAGTCCTTGCTTCACTTTTGCCTTCTCTGTATTCTGTCAGGTTGGCAAGTAGGACTTTACAGTGTCTCTCCATTGCCCTGGGTACCAGGGTAAAGAGACTCTCGGATATTCACTACAACTTGTGACTTGGCTAGTGGAAACAGAAGTGGACAGGTGGCTGGTTAAAATAGTCGTGGTGGCCCCTAGCCAGAGGAACTTAGCTGACCTGACAACCCCTGGATTCCCTCATCTACTGTTCCCATCAGAGATCCAAAGGCTTCCTTTCCGGAGTCTAGTTCTCTGCTCATTAAGAGCCTGAGGTTCTTGGTTCCCATGAGAGATGACAGGAATGGCCATGAAGAACCCTTGAGGTGAAGGTGGGGACCTGTGTGTTTCTTTGTTCAGTGTAGCAGAATACCATGATCAGAGGACACATTCTGCTATTAACTCGTTATCCTTGCTACAGTTTTTAAGGCCCTGAAAAAAATAGGCATGACTGAGAGGAAATTCATGTTCTCGTGGAGTTTTCTTTTTAATTAAGTTTAGCTGTGCAGTCCTAGGCATGAAGGTATTTAGTCTTTGCTGCCTATCTGACCATCCATTAAACAAGGATAATTGTAGTGTTACTTGAGTTTTATTTTGTTTTTATGGTGCTGGGCATTGAACCTCGAGTCTCTTGCATGTTAGACAGACAAGTGTTCTACCATTGAACTTTACCTCTGTCCCTATTAGGATTATATATTAGGTCCTGAATCTTACATTCAGTTCCCAGCATATGATAAATGCTCAGTATTTGCTATTATTGTTGTCTGGACAGATTTCCTTATGAGGGGTTCTAATCTTCTTTCTTTTGCTATCCTTAGGTAATTCAGTATCAAACTGTTCGATATGATATCCTTCCCTTATCTCCTTTATCCCGGAATCGACTAGGTGAGTATGTTGGATGGGAAGGCTACCCAAAGGTGAAGTCGACTCCAGCTTTGGGCTGAGGTCGTTGGTGTTATGCCTTCCCGTTGTGGTTTAGCCCAGGTGAAGAAGAAGATCCTCGTGCTGGATCTGGATGAAACACTTATTCACTCTCACCATGATGGGGTCCTGCGGCCCACAGTGAGGCCTGGAACACCTCCCGATTTCATCCTCAAGGTGTGTGAGGCTATGAAATACTTATGGCTCTTACTGTGTGTCCAGACATAAACTCTTTCCCAGTCTTGAGGGTTAGGGCTTGGCAAGACTTGGCACCAGGATCAGCCAGGAGGAGGAAAGCAGGTGGTAGGCATGGGGCAAGGTCAGTGTGGTGGTGCTTAGGACGTCCCTCATCTTTTCCCTGTTCCTCTGCAGGTGGTAATAGACAAACATCCTGTCCGGTTTTTTGTACATAAGAGACCACATGTGGATTTCTTCTTAGAAGTGGTGAGTGTGTGAGCTAATGGGGGCACCCTGATGAAAGTATGATTGTGGAGTTCAGGGCTTTAGGGGATTTGGAGAAGAGGGTGAGAAGTTGGTGTATTTGTCAGGGTTCTCTAGAGGAACAAAACCAATAGAAGACAAAGATAGAGATACATATTATTTAGCTTACAATAAAATAGTAATGAGTTGCTCATATCCGAGGGCTAAGAACCTGGTAGATGCTCAGTTCTTGAGGCTGGGTACCCTAGCAGTTGGAGCAGTCCCAGAGATTGTCTTATACTGGAGAGGCTGACAATTTGGTATTTTCTCAGTCCATGAGGCAGATATCTCAACAGTTCCAATCTGGTGCTAAAAACTTGGAAGGTTTCTGCAGAGCTGCTAGTCCTTAGTTGAAGATAGATGCTTGGAAATGTGGTGTAACATCGGTGAGGGAAGCAGCTGCAGCAGCAGGGTAAGCCAGCATGGTGGCAAGAGGGAAGGTCAGAGAAAGAGGCAAATTATCTTCCTTCTATCATGCTTTCTTACCTGAGCTGCTACCAGAAGTTTCTACTAAATCTCAGGGTGGATCTTCCCACATTACTTAAAGCAATCAGGACAGTTCTTCAACTGAGTGGTCTATTTGGTGGTTCTAATTTGTGGCAAGTTGGCACTAAAACCAAACATCACAGTCTATTCCTTGTCACTTGACAAAATAACACGTCCCTTTAAAAACCATAGTCTTGGGTGGGAGAGATGAGATGAGTAGTGGTGGATAGCACTTGTTGCTCTTTCAGAGGACCTGGTGTGTACAAGGACCCACATCAGGTGACTCACAATTACTTACAACTCCAGCTCCAGTGGATCTGATACCTGTGGCATCCATGGGCACCTACACTCAAATGTAAATACCCACACCCACAGAGACATAATTTGAAAAAACAAAACAAAACAAAAAAAACTCCACAAAACCCAAAAGCCATAAGCTTATGCAGGGACACATACCTATATGCAAATAAATCAGTCTTAAAAACTGTAGCTTTAGCTGGGCGGTGGTGGCGCACACCTTTAATTCCAGCACTCGGGAAGCAGAGGCAGGTGGATGTCTGTGAGTTGGAGGCCAGCCTGGCCTACAAAGTGAGTTCCAGAACAGCCAGTGCTAAATGATAAAACCCTGTCTCGAAAAACCAAAACAACAACAACAGCAACAAAAACAAAAAAATCCCCCAAGGGGGCTGGAGAGATGGCTCAGCAGTTAAGAGCATTGCCTGCTCTTCCAAAGGTCCTGAGTTTAATTCCCAGCAACCACATGGTGGCTCACAACCATCTGTAATGAGGTCCGGTGCCCTCTTCTGGCCTGCGGGCATACACGCAGACAGAATATTGTATACATAGTAAGTAAGTAAATAAATATTTAAAAAAAAAATCCCCCCAAACCATAACTTATTCCCCTAAGTCTCATATTCATTTCTTAATATAAAATATAACTTTAAAGCCCCACAGTCTTTAAAAAATCCTAACACTTAAAAGTTCAAAGTCTCAGCTGAGCAATGATATCCCATGCCTGTAATCCTAACATTTAGGAGGCAGAGCAGAGGCAGGTAGATCTTTGTGAGGCTAGCCTGGTCTACAAAGCAAGTTCTAGGATAGCCAGAGTTATTACACAGAGAATCCCTGTTTCAGAAATAAAAGAGGGAAAAAAAAATCTCTGAGGGCTATATTGTCACCTATGGATATAGACAGCCATAATATGATACAAACTAGTCTTCCATCCATTTGGCTCTCTTAAAAAAATTCTCTTTAAAATATTCAGAGTCTCTTAACTATGTTAACTGTGACTTCCTGTAAAATCACAAAACAAGTTACTTTCTTTTTTATCCCTGAGGCAGGGTTTCTGTAGCTATCCTAGAACTTGCTCTGTAGACCAGGCTGGCCTCCAACTCACAGAGATCTGCCTGCTCTGCCTAACACCACTCTCACTCCCAACCCCCGGATTAAAGGCACGTGCCACCATTGCCTGGAACAGGTTATTTTTTTTTTCTTTTTTAAAACCAGTTTATGATGCTTTGATTTATTCATTTCATAGAGCCATAGCACACATTTTGTAATAAAGTCTCTCATCCAGGTTACTTTCTTATTACAAGAGGGAAGAACCAGGGCAGTTACAATCAAATCCTAGTGACACCAACATCTAGTGGTGTAAATTGAATCTTTCAGCTCGGTGTCTGACATTTGGTACTCACTTATGGTCTCCAGGGCTCCAAAGAACTTGGGTGCTTCACTGCTCCAGTTCTGCCATTGGTAGCACACAACCGACTCTGCTCCACATCTGCCACTGTCTCCGTGGTCATCCCATGGTCCTGGCAGATACGACATGCTAGGGTCTCTGCTGCAACTGGGGTTGCACTTTGACCAATTGCCTCCCAGTGTCTTTTCAGGAATTCTGACTCTGTCCCATGGTACCAAGCCTAAGTTTCACCTCATGACCTCTTAGTCCTGGGGTTTCCACTGTAACTGAGGCTGAATCTTCATCTGTAGCCTTTCCTGGCCTTTCATAGTGCCAAGACTCAACTTTTCTCCATGATCCCTTTAATTCTGGAGCCTTCATGCTGCTAAAACCAGTAGTTTGATGTAAGACTTTGAAATACATACCAAGATGCAGCCCTAATTAGGCCATAATTTCTAGACCATAACTTCTGTGTGCCAATCCTGAGGAAATATTTCCGCCACCACCTGGCCCATAGGTTCTTTTTAGATGAGTTGTTTTATTTTTATTTTAGGTATATATGAGAGTGCCTGCATGTGTGTCTTTACCACATGTATGCCTGGTGCCCATGGAGGCCTAGTGTTGGAGCATCTAGAACTGGAGTTACAGACAGCTAGCTGTGAGCTGCCTGATGTGGGTGCTGTATCTACAGATTGTGATCCTTAATCCAAGGTATTACATAAACAGCCCTGGTAGTCCTGGTTTCTCTCTGAAACCTTCCAGACCGGGCTTCCCTCCTTTGCATAGTTCACAGCATCATCTGAACTCCCCACAACAGCCCGTGAAGCAATAAGCTTCAGAAGTTTCAGATGCTTCCCCAGTTGTCCTCAGATCAGCATGGTCAGGTCTGTTACAGCAGGATCCCATTTTCTGCTTCAGATTTGTAATAGGAACCTCAAGAGGAACAGAACTGATAGGATAGATATGTATTATAAGAATGTATTAATTCAGTTTACATTAAAATAGTAACGAATTATCTTATACCTGCAAAACTAAGAACCTAGGAGATGCTGTGTCTTTGTGATTGGAGAAGAGGACAACTTGGTAGTTGCACAGTCTAGTGAGGGCAGTGCTACCTCTGACAGGTTGTCCTGTGTTGGGTAAGAAGATACTGAACAAGCCACAGAAAGCCAGCCAGTAAGCAGTATTCCTCTGTGGTCTCTGCTTTAGTTCCTACCTCTAAGGTTCTTGCCTTGACTTCCCTCAGTGATGGAGTGTGATCTGGGAGTTATTAGATGACATAAATTCTTTCTTCTCCAAGTTGACTTTGGTCAGTATTTAATTATATCAATGGAGTCGCCAACTAGGACAGAGGGTAAGGGCAGTTTTGTAAAGGAGAATCTCTAGGGAAGTAAGGGAATGGCTTTGAGTAGCCGGGGTATATTTATTGCAGTTTTATAATTCTATTCTTTCATAGGCACCCTGCAGTTTTGTGTTTATATCTTCAACTCTGGAGGGTGTTGGTTGCCTCAGACACTGAGTTTGGAAGATTAGTGGAGGGTTCAAATTTTGTATTTTCATAGACATTTGATTTACTTGAAGGCCGGAAGGTCTAGGCTGGCAAAGAATCATTATGTCTAAATGAATGATTACTTTATATGACATCTGTATTCCTCTCCAATCTACTTCAGGTAAGCCAGTGGTATGAGCTTGTGGTATTTACAGCAAGCATGGAAATTTATGGCTCTGCTGTGGCAGATAAATTGGACAATAGCAGAAGCATTCTTAAGAGGAGATACTATAGACAGGTAAGGAGCCAGAAGCAGGTTTGAGAGGCAGGTTACCTGGGTCCTGGGTGGGAGGTGGGAGTGGGGATGGGTGTGTGTATGCTATATCATCCTCTGCTTTTCAGCACTGCACTTTGGAGTTGGGCAGCTACATCAAAGACCTCTCTGTGGTCCACAGTGACCTCTCCAGCATTGTGATCCTGGATAACTCCCCCGGGGCTTATAGGAGCCACCCAGGTATGGGGACAGGTGGTGGCTCTAGCAGGACCAGGAAATGGTTCTGAGGACTATTTTAGTTTTTATTTTATTATTATTGTTGTCATTACTATTATTATTTTGGTTTTTTGAGACAGGGTTTTTCAGCACTGGCTGTCCTGGAACTCACTCTGTAGACCAGGCTGGCCTCGAATTCACTGAGATCCAGCCTCTGCTTCCCAAGTGCTGGGATTAAAGGCATGTGCCACTACTGCCTGGCTTATTTTATTAGTTTTTATTTCTGAGACAAGGTCTCCTTAAATAACAGGCTGGTATGACCTGACTCTTTAGTTTAGTAGATCTGGAAATGGAACCCAGGGCCTCACATTAAATCCTAGGCAAACACTGTACTATTTAGCTATATCCCTAACTCCTCCTTGAGGGGTTGAATATAAGGAGCTAGGAGGCAGAAGACCTGGGTCCTAGTCCCAGAGTTTGAATTCCCTGCTGCACTACAGATCTGAATCTAAGTTGTTTCTCTAATTCAAGTGTGGTACCAATGCTCATGTGTCTGTTTTATAAATGGAACTTCCCTATCAAATTCAAGTGAGGCACAGTGGCAGGTAGACCAGAATTCTAGCCTCCACTGTTGTGAAGCCTATTAATCATTCAGTTTGACATTTGAGGAGAAAGAAGGGTTTACTTAGGCAGCTATGACTTGGTGGGTGAGGTGTATGGGTTTTTAAGTAATAATATTAAGGAAAAACTCACAGGTTCTTGAATTTTTCCTCATCTCAACTGTAATTTTTCCCACCATAGACAATGCCATCCCTATCAAATCCTGGTTCAGTGACCCCAGTGACACAGCCCTTCTCAACCTTCTCCCAATGCTGGATGCCCTCAGGTAAGGGAAGTGATTTTCTTTTCTTTTTTAATTTTTTTTTTTTTTTTTTTTAAGAAATTCTTCCTATGCTGGCCTGGCAGTCGGCTTCCTGGCTTGGCCTTCCAAGGGCTGGCTGGGTTACAGGTGCACCACCATATCCAGCAACACTGGGTTCCCAAGGAAAAGAGGTGGGGGGAATCTTAATTATTAAAAAGAAGAAGAGTCCTTCAGAACTTCAGTGATTGGGCCAGGCCCTTTTAACTCCAGAGCACATTGTTTTTAGCCATTTGGCTTCTCTCAAACTGAGCCTGTCTCACTGTTTGAAAGTGGTACTCAGTTCTATCCTAACTCCAGTGAGGTAGTGAGAGTATCAGCTGTAAGGTACTCCACCAATGCACGTTACTGTCATTCCAGGTTCACTGCTGACGTCCGATCTGTGCTGAGCCGAAACCTTCACCAACACAGGCTGTGGTGACAGCTGCTCCCCCTCCACCTGAGTTGGGGTGGGGGGGAAGGGAGGGCGAACTCTTGGGATGCCGTCTGTTGCCCTGTCCACTGTGAGGACTGCCTGGGCAGGGTCTGCCCCTCCCATCCCTCTCTGCCCGAGGATGTGGAGTCTGGATGGACACATGGGCTAGACTGTGAAGCAGCCTCACTCGTGTTCACACTCCACGGAAATGCCGGGCAGGGCAGGTGAAAGCCCTGGAGAGCTGAAACTGTCTGGTGGGGAAGCAGGACTGGTCTGAGTGACAGACATGGTGATCCCAGAGGCTCAAAAGAAGCCAAGTCAACTTTGTTGTGATTTGATTTTTTAAAAACTCTTGTACAAAACCGATCTACTTCTTCACTCCTGCTCCAGGGGCCGGGCTGCGGGTGGGAGTCTGGGTTTCCTCAAACTTGTCCTTCCCTTCCTTTTCCTCAGTTTTTCTTCCTCCGACTCCCCTGATACCTGTAATCAAATTTCTCTTTTCTTCTCCTTCCTCTTTTAAACCATGCATTATAACTTTGAAACCAAAGCTGCCATAGGTCCTTCTCTGACGTTTTTGTAAACGGAGGGAACTTGTTCACATCGGCCCTGTCCCTGAAGCAGAGGGGGAAGATCTTGTTTGGGATGTGGGGAACTGGGATTCAGTATAGGGATAAAGAAGTTTATGTCAACGTAGTTTGGCAGGAAAGATCCCCCGGGATAGGATGGGGGTCCCCTGCAGAACAATGGAAGAGCAACTTTAGAGTAGGACATAGAAGGCTGAAGATGAGAAGCCTGGATCCCTCAAAGGGTATACATAGCTGAAAAAGGCAGGGCTTGGTCTGGGAGGATGACGTGGACAGGCAAGAGGGCGCTGCCTATGGGCTGTTGGCGCTCCTGCAGTAAGCTTGGTGCGGAACTCTGACACCTCCTATCCAGAGCCGGGCCTACTTTCTGGTACCCGCCACGTGATGCTCCGCCCTCTTAGGTCACATGACATTTTACACACAGTGACAAAATGTGTTCCTCCGCATTGGCGTAGTCTCTATCTTTTGGACTTCGCAGTTCTTATTGGTCCACTCAACCCCGATTCCTGGGTGTTCTGTACGTGTCTACAAACCCCATTTCTTTTTGCCCTTCTATTGTGGAGTCTGTATCCACGTCTTGGTACTACTTTGTTTTGGTGTCAACGACCGCCTTCAGCGTAGCAACCCGTTTTGTGAATACCTAGAGTTGTAATTGTCTTTTCCCTACGTAATTTACGAAAAGACTTGGAGACCCAAATTTCATGACTGCCACCTACTACCTCATTTCGTCCTCAGCTTTGAACTGTGGGGCTACCGGAGAAAGGGTTTTCAGTTGATGTGAAACGACAATAACCTTTGCTGCGAAGTCATCTGCGTAACCCACAAATTGATTCCAAAGCGGTTACGCTGGAGGCGTGAGAGGGCCAGGCAGCCGGTGGTGCTACGCCAGCGGCGTTAGAAAGTTGAGCTAGTGGCGTATTTCAGCAGGCGGGGCAGCTCCGGATGGTCGGGGGCGGGGTTGGTGAATAGGGAAGTGGCGCAAATTCGTGGATCGCTCCGCTGAGCCTGTTCGTCGAAGCCGTCGCCACCTCCGCCGCCGCCCCCTGTCCCGGCCCCCCCCCCTGGGTTTCCTCAGCCCAGCTCGGTCCAGCCCGGTTCTCGGGAGAATGAAGTTCGTGTACAAAGAGGAGCATCCGTTCGAGAAGCGCCGCTCTGAGGGCGAGAAAATCCGAAAGAAATACCCAGACCGGGTCCCGGTAAGGACAGGATCCAGGATCAGGGCCGAGGCTTAGGGTGCTGACGCTGTCGCCACAAGATAGGCTTGAGTCTGGGGAAGCGGAGGTCAGGCTCCACCCTGTTGTAGGGTTAGAAGTCTGAAACTTGTTTTTGGTACCAGAGACGAGAAGCTTGTAGAAGTAGAGCTGGGACTGAGATGTGAACAGGAAGAGAGAGAGAGACCTTGGCATTTGTCAGAATGGAGGCCTTGGGAGCTTGACAACCATGGTCATCCTTTCAGCTACCTAGACTTAAGGTAGAGTTTGACCGAAACTAGTCATCCTGTTTCTCTGATGAAAATAGTTGTGATATGCCGTTCTGTGATCAATACTCAATATTTAGGTAAGCCAGCGAGGCCAGGATCTCTACTCAATGCTGCGTGCATCACGTATGTTAGGATAAGGAGAAATGAGATTGCAGTACATCTCTGTATAGGGAATATCATAGCTTGCGTTCTTCATCGATATAGCTGTGTATTTTGTGTCTACTCATTCTTAACTTCCTTTCATCAGGTGATAGTGGAAAAAGCTCCCAAAGCTCGGATAGGAGATTTGGACAAAAAGAAATACCTGGTGCCTTCAGATCTTACAGGTGGGAACGAGCCCCCAGATGCAGCTTCCTTCTGTGGGTGGGAATACCCTCTCTGGAAGGAGGTTTCACCTGACAGCTGCTTTCTGGAAGTGCTGGTGACCGCAGTGACTTTCTTGCATCTCCTGTTTTTGGCAGTGGGTCAATTCTACTTCTTGATCCGGAAGCGAATTCATCTCCGTGCTGAGGATGCCTTGTTTTTCTTTGTCAACAATGTTATTCCACCTACCAGTGCCACGATGGGTCAGCTATACCAGGTATAGTACCTTGGAGTGTTTGGAGAGGAGTCCTGGACAGCTTGAGTAGAAGAAAGTAAAGGTCAGCAGTTCTCTGTACTAGCTGGCTTGCTAGCTTTAAAACGTAAGTGTAGTCCTGGGGAGCTGGGATTCGAACAGCAGGTAGAGTAGCTGTTCTGATTGGGACCCTCCGACCCACGTCTCTTTCCCTCATCCAAGATGTCAGAACAGTTTGAGATCTTTGTTTTGAGAAAGGGTTTCTTTGTGTAACTCTGTCTGTCGTGGGAATTCGCTGTGTAAACCAGACTGGCCTTGAACTCTGCCTGCCCCTGCCTCCTGATTGCTGGGATTAAAGGGGTGTGCTACCACACCTCGTTGAGGTCCCATTCTGAATAACAGGTGTGCTGTGGTACACATTTTAAATCTTTGAAGTCCTCAGGAGGCAGGAGCCTGTCTCACTCCTTGCACACAGTTTTAACCCTTTCACTTCAGAGGCAGAGACTGGTGATCTCTGAAGCTATCTTCATCAGTCAGAGAGACATATCGAGATCCTGTCTGAAAACAAACAATATAAGATCACCGAAAGTGGGGTGCAATCAAGCACACCTTCAATCTCACACTCTGGAAGTAGAAGCAGGTAGAGCGCTGTAAGTTTGAGACCAGCGTGGTCTACATAGGTAGTTTGAGGCCAGCCAGAGCTACATAGTGAGACCTTATCTCACTACGGGATTAAATGAAAACTCTAGAGAACCCAAACAAATACATGCACACACAGACACTCCAAAAATAAAATAAATGAAAACAAGCAAAGAAACATTGGCGGTGAGGCATTAGCATCTTGACTTGGAAACCACCTGGCTACATAGTGAATTTGAGGGCAGCCTTTCTGAAAGGAGCAACAGAAAATACGAGTGAATGGTTCTTCTTTTATTCCTTTTGTCCTAGCAACTACATTTAGTACCTTATAACTTCAAGTGTATTTTGAATCAGTTTCTTAAGTTGCCTTGGATGCTTTTAACTGTCATTCCTTTCCAGTTGCTGAAATTACCAGGCCGTGCTTAAAGGAATGATTGTTTGTTTTGGTTTTGGTTTTTCAAGACAGGGTTTCTTAGTCTTTAGAGCCACTTTCACTTTGTAGACCAGGCTGGCCTTGAGCTCACAGAGATCCACCAGCCTCTGCCTCCCCTAGTGCTGGGATTAATGGTTTAAGGGTGTGTACCACCACCACTTGGCTAAAAGAATGAGCCTTGAGGAATGTCTTGGGGGTGGTAAATAGTTCAAGTAACTAAATCCAAGTTGCCATTCCACCCTTTCTTGTTTCACTGTAGGAGCACCACGAGGAAGACTTCTTTCTATACATCGCCTACAGTGATGAAAGCGTCTACGGTCTGTGAAGCTGCTGTCCCTGAGGTGGGGGGTTCCATTCTACAAGGAGAGGTGGCGCTCCTTCCTTGACATCTACTTCCTCCTTCAGGCGAAAACACCATCTCCTTCAGGACCTGCACTTAATGTTTGAGGCTGTTTCTCCTGTCCCTCTCAGCAGGAGGGGTAGTGGAGGACACAGTCTCCATACATCTCCTTTCTTTCCCCTGTTTGCCCTCATTCCCACTCTGCTTTAGACTTCTTGATTGTCAATCTCTGTCACATCCGTCGATTGTTTTGGTTTCTATTCCCTTTCTAACTGCCCAAGCAGGCTCCCTTCCTTTCAGTACCTTCTTTTTGGGGGGGTAGATGGAAGGGATTAACATTGTCGGGGGGAGGTAGGAGGCACATCAATAAAGAAGAAACCACCGAGCTGAACTGACTTTTGCCCTGTGTCATTCCACCTCCTGTTTGTTTCATGTCAGGAACTTCACTGGTGGGAAGGAGAAGAAGTGGGTATAAGTCAGAGAAACAGAAACACTTTTTGATGTTGGTGTTTCCCTCTGAAAAAAGCTGGGCTTTCTTTAATGAATGAAATAATGTGAGCATTATTGCATGAAACTTTGATTTATATGTGTGTATATTGGCTTGCGATGTAAACAAAGGGGTGGTGGTGTTCACTGTGGGTACTTATGGGAGAAAGTTTGGAAGGACCACTTTTAGGTTTGCATATCCAAATTTGTTACTACAGAGAAAGGATGTTTGGGAGGGGGTGAGAGGACTGTCTTTCACCGGCTGTCACTTGCAGAGTTTGTGCCTGTGTGTGGGATCCTGTAAAGTGAAATTTGAGAGGCAAATACTGGGAGAAGGGTGCCATTATCACTAGGAGAACTTCATCTCCCAGCATTCATGTCTACTTGGCCGGAAGTGGGGCGGTTCCCTGAGGGATAAAAAGAAGGTACAAAATGAGGCAGTATGGTGGCCGAGAGTTCTAATCCCTTCTTCGTCTACTTTCTTGGTCCCGCCCAGCCTACACTTCCCGGGAGTCAGTGCGCACTCTTCCGCTGTACGTCTCTGGCTCTGGATCGCCCCACCACTCCCCTGGTTGGGGGAAAGCTGTCTATTGCGCCTGCGCCAATCCGTGGTTTACTGGGAACTGAAGTTCCGGAGGATCGTAAACTCCCCTTTCAGCTGCCCCTGCGCAGACTACAAATCCCTTGGTGCACCGCGCGGCGGAGCCGGAGGGGAGGGGGAGAAGGGAGGGAGGCGAGAGGAGGAGGAGGGAGCAGGCGGCCGGCGGTGCGGGGGGGAGGGGGCCCGGTCCGGGAGTGCGGGAGGCAGTGGTAGAGGGAGGTGGCGGTAGCGGACTGGAGTCTCAACCGCGCCAAGGCGGACACTTCGGTGGAGCGAGGCACTAGGAACACGGAGCACCCAAGGCAGCACCGGGAATCCCGGCTTAGAGGAGGGGGTCGCCGGACCGGGTGGAGGGGAGGGGGCGATGCTGGAAGCCATGGCGGAGCCCAGTCCCGAAGGTAAGCGCTCCGTAGACACAGAGGGCAGGGAGAGGGTGAGAATTCATTTGGCAAAGTTGGAGGTCGAGCCCCGGCACCCAGCGGGGGAGTGCGGGAAAAGGGGTCGGGGCCTGGCTCTTGAGGTGGGAGAGCGACGAGTTGAGGGAGCTTGGAGAAAGAGGAGTGGGAGACTGGGTCGAGATAGTTAGACATCAGGCACGGTGTGGATGGCGGTGGTGGGGTGTCCGGGGATAGGCGCTGGCAGCCTAGCTTCGGGGGCTGGAGGCTGAAGAGGCCTCGGACTGGCTGGCGCTCCGAAGCAGGGAGGCTGGGGGAATCCGGTCGCCGGAGAGTAGTTGAGAGAGCTCGGCGAGGGTTGAGTGAGGGGCCCGGTAGTTGGCCGAGGTGGGGGAGTTTGTGACGGTGGCGCTTGAGCGCCTAGTAGTTGCCGCCAGAGATAGGCTGGTGATTGTTAGAGGGGTGGGCAGGTAGTTGTGGGGAGCGGAGAGGGTCTGGGTATTGTCTCCGGTAGAGCCCGGTACTCCGGGGTAGTTGTAGGGCCAGATAACTGGGAAGTGAGCCTAACCCGCGGTACTTGTAGGGGCGGCGGGGCGAGGTGTGGGGGGGGGGTT